GTATCGTTCGCTGTACATCTTTCCTCGCGTAAATCGCGTATGTCTGTAGGTGTTGGCAAAGCCGGCGCAAACACAGCCAGTGTGTCGGCTGTGGTTGTCAGCGCAGTGGCCAGGCTCGGACCTACGCAAAGACATCGCGCGGATCCAGCGAGTTCTTGAACGTGTCGTGCGTGCGATGGCGATCCTGCTCAGCAGCGCCTCTCCGTGCCAAGCTGCTGCTGCTGCTGCTGCCGCCCCTCCCCTCGACGAGCCCCGTGCCGTGGAGCAGGTTCGGGTCCCGCCCGTCGTCCGCAGGCCGCGCAGGAGGCGGGCCGCGTTGGCGGCTCCGCGGCTCGGTTTTCGCGCGCGTGCGTGCTGAGGTTGGCGCCCGTGTAAGCTTGTGCTCCGGCACGCACGTACAAGATCTTCACGGTCTGAGCGTACTCCGCCGCCCGCGGCTTCCTCCTCCCTCCGCGCCCTTTCTTGTTTCACCTCGGGGGCCCCATTCGGCTCCGACGCGTCCCTCGGCTGTCTCTACCGCTTCTAGGACCCAAGTTGCCGCTGACAGCCATGTGCTAAGGTTGGCGCCGCTGCAGGTGCGGCGGGAACGTTTACGTGGCGAAGGCAGGCGCCGTTGCTCCAACCGCCCTCCCTGTTCTTGTTCCGGGCCTCCTGGTCCAGGGGGCGCATGGTCCGCTGTGAGGGGGGTCCGGCGGGGGGAGGTCCTTTCAGACCTCAGTCTTTCCAAGCTTGCTCCCATCGATGAGCACCCTCCTCAGCGGTTGGAGGCGGGTCGGGCCCTGCTGGCAAGCTTTTCCCCCCCTCCCACCTGTTCTGGAGGACAGGAGTGTGCTGCTTTTGCAGGTCCTGCGGGCGCTGTGCTGTCTGCAACCCAGTGAGGCTATTGGACGAGTGCGAGGCTTTACTCTTTTGTTATACAGCACTGATGCGTCTCAGGAAGGGGGCCTGCCCCTCAGGTGTGGAATGAGGGCGTGGGGCCACTCATTCAGCCAGCCGTTTGGTGAAGGGACAGTGCTGCATAGCTCGGCGTTGGCCAATGCCTCTCTTGATTGAGGTGGTGGACCTCCTGTGAAAGAAAAACCCTTCTTTGGTTTAAGGCGCTGAGGCCAAACAGCCTCAGACTATGCTCAGACACATCGTGAGAATTTGCCTGGGCTTGCTTTGGCGAACTTCTGGCCATTTCCCCTTCCTGTCTGCCCTCTTGCAGTTCCAGCTTCCTGGCCATGCCACGGCGGACAGAGCCTCGCCTCTTCGGCAGTCTCTCGAGTTGTTTGATCTTTGCTCCATACACTTCATTCAGCCTGGCTCGTACGATCTGCCTGCGAATACTCATGTTGCCAGCCGTGTCTTGCAAAATCCGTGTCCTCATGCCCTATCCTGCTGCCTTGTCCGGCGCCTCCTCCTCCTCCTACTTCTCCTTTCCTTCGGGTGTCCCGATTTCGGTTGTCCCGAGTTCGCGGGGGGGGGCTTCAGCGGGACGGCCAAGCCCCTTCTGGCGTCTCATCTCGGCGGCGGGCCCTGACCCACTCCTGACTGCTGCACTCACGGTTAGGCTTGGTCTCGTGCTTGAGAAGCTGTGCGGCGAACTAACACACGGGGAATTAACAGCGCGCGTTAATTTCCCGAGGACGTGCACCCGGTGATTCGGCAGCCGATCGTGTCGCACTCCGCTCCGCCAGAATGCAGGTAGAGATCGCAAGGCCGAAGGCCACACACTGCAAACTTATCCGTCGGGCCCCATCGTAATTCTCACCGCCGGAGCCTGGACGAGCCTCCTGAGCCACAAGCCCTCCTTTTTGACTTTAGGCGGGCTTCGATGACCGGGATCGCAGCGTTGAATGGCAAAAAGAGTGAACATAGAAATCTACTTAGGCCATGTTGCCGCAACTTGTGCCGCAAGGACCTCGGCACGCCGCGATAAGACGAACGACAGCGAGGCAAGGCAAATGTAGGGTTGCCCGCAAGTTCGTGAAGTATGCGAACCCTGCTCCTCCGCTTGAGGACCGCTCGGGGACGGCTGATGATGATGATGCTGATAATGGTGATGGTGATGGTAATGATGATGATGATGTTGATAGTGTTGCTGGTGATGATGAAGATGCTGATGCTGATGCTGATGATGATGTTGATGATGTTGATGATGATGACGATGATTATGCTGATGCTGATGACGACGATGATGACGGCGATGGTGATGATGTTTGCGATTATGATGATGATGCTGATGCTGATAAGACGATGATGATGTTGATGACGATGCAGGTAATGCTTATGATCATGGTGGTGATGACGAGTATAATGAGGATGCTGCTGCTGCTGCTGATGATGATGATGATGAGGATGACGATGCTGATGATGATGATGATGGTGACACTTACGCTGATGATGACGATGCAGATGATGCTGATGAAGATGATGCTGATGCGGATGCGGATGCTGACGCCGATGATGATGATGATGATGATGATGCTAATGATGATGTTGATGATGACGGTGATGGCGATGATGATGAAGATGAGGATGAGGATAAGGATGGTGATGCTGATGTTGTGGATGACTATACTGGTGATGCTGATTGTCAGGATGATGCTGCTGCTGATGCTGCCGATGATGCCAATGATGATGATGAAGTTGATGATGCTGATTATGAAGATGATGATGAGGATGCTGATGGTGATGGTGATGCTGATGATGATGCTGACGATGATGATGATGGTGCTGATGATGATGGTGCCGATGGTGACGGTGATGCTGCTGATGATGCTGATGCTGATAACGACGATGATGCTGCTGACGATGATGCCGATGATGATGCTGGTGATCATGCTGCTGCTGATGATGATGATGCTGCTTATGATGATGCTGCTGATGATGAGGATGCTGATGCTGATGATGATGATTATCATGATGTTTCTGCGGCTGCTGCTGCTGCTAATGATGATGATGACGATGATGGTAATGATGAGGATGATGCTGCTGCTGCTGATGATGATGTTTATGATGATGATGCTGATGATGCTGATGATGGTAAGGATGATGATGATGAAGATGATGCTGTTGATGATGATGATGCTGTTGCTGCTGATGATGATGCTGATGATGCTGATGATGATGATTATGATGATGATGATGATGATGCTGATGATGATGATGATGATGATGATGATGATGATGATGCTGATGCTGATGCTGATGCTGCTGCTGATGATGATGATGATGATGATGATGATGATGATGCTGATGCTGATGCTGATGCTGATGCTGATGCTGATGCTGATGCTGATGCTGATGCTGATGACGAGGAGGAGTAGTAGGAGGAGGAGGAGGAAGAGGAAAAGAGGCAGCTCGGTGAGGGAGCGGCCCCCAGCGCGAGGTTTTCCGAGGGCCGACCTCGAGCCTGGAGAAGGTCCACCGCGGCGCGGAGCAGCTGGGCCACCTGGCCGACGCCTCCATGCGCGGCACCGTCAGCTTCGCGCGGACCGCGTGGGCTTCGGTGGGGCTGCTGGAGGGTCTTCCGAGGCCTTCGGAGGCCTCCGATGGGCTTCCTTGGGCGGCGAAATCCGAACCCTACCCTCGCCGATCGACGATTCGGGCAACTCGATGGGCGCCTAGGGTAGGGTTCGGAATTCGGCGAACAATTGACGAAGTCCGAAGCCTACGCCCGCCTCCCAACGATTCGTTCAGGATCATCGGTGATCGGTGGGGGTGCAGTCATCCCGCATAGTAAGGATGAGCAACTTTCCAAGGTGACCCTTGCATCCTTCCCCTTCGGTCCATCCTTGGCCGCTTTCGCTGGCCGCGCCCCGCTCGAAAAGTGACGACATGGCCTTCAAAGGCTCTTGCATCCTTATTGTGCGTCCTTCTTCTACGAGTTGACTGTAGAAAGGGGGGGGAGAAGGAGGAGGAGAAGGGGGGGAAGAAAGAGGGGGAGAAGGAGGGAGAGAAGGAGGAGGAGGAGGAGGACGAGGAGGAGGAGGATGCAGGACCTTTGGAGACCTCCCGCGGAGAACACTGCCCGGGACCTCCAGAGACCTCCAGGGGACCCATGGCAGGTGCGCGCCGCGTCGGCGCGGCGGAACCGCCAGCGCGGGCGCTCAGGGTTCTGGCGCCTCCCCAGTCTCCGTTTTGTTTCGAGCCGACCGATCTGATTCGATATTGATTCCATTGAACTCCTGCCCGGCCCGATTCGATTCCGACGATTCGATGCGGCCCGATGCGGCCCGATGCTCGCGAGGCGCTGTTGTGCATCCTGGCTCGGCCGATGCGATTCGATCTCGACTCCGTGCCGATGCGGCCCAATCCGACGCGCATTCCGATTCCATTCGAATTTGCCATTCGGCTGCTGACTGATCTGGGCCCCAGGGCCCACACAAAACAATCCACGGTACGAAGTCCACGCGAAAGAATGGCTCGAGAGTCCCCTTGTGTCGTCGAGAGCGGATATCGTTCAAGGGTGAACGGCGTACACTGTGATAGGAAGGGTCTCGAGAGCTCATGCACCCTGACCTCGGCCAATACGTTGCGATCGCCCGTTCCTGTTGCTCGATCAATGGCGTGCAGTGGTCGGTCCATATTGAAAACAACAAGAATATTGGTGACGTGCGCTTTGGGAGTCCAGGGATCGGGTCGGCGGGTGTTCTCCGGCATCGGCATCAGTTTCCCTCCTCCGCTGATTTGTTCAAGACGGGGTCCCCAGGAGACGGGACCCTTCCCACAGGGGCAGCTTTCCAACCCGAGCCGTTCTTTCACAGTCCTGGGGTCAGGCGAGGTCCCCCAGAGGCCGAGAACGGGGAAAAGCTCGTTTACAATGTTCCGGTCCGTCGGAGGTCCGGTGTTTTCCCGCTCCGACAGGAACGTGACCGAGTTCAGCTGCCGCATGTCCTTCCTCTGCGCCCGCGCGGGCGCCAGGCAGGGCCATCTGCGATGATATTTCAATTCGCGGATAGGGCCCGCGGCTCCGATTCGCTTCGATTTCGCTCGATTTACTGGCATCGGCCGGGGTCAGCCAGAGCCGGGCGCGGCGACCCGATGTCGAATCCGACTCGGGACAATCCGCTGGCGATCCGATCCGCCTTCGCAGTTCGATCCAGGGTCGGGCAGGCACGGTGCCGAGGTCAATCCGTCCCGGAGCGTTCCGGAACGCTCTCGGAGCGTTCCGGGACTTTGGAGCGGCCGCGGCGCCGGATACCTCCAAACCCGCCGAATCTCACTGACAGACTTCCGATTCAGGTCGGTCCGATTTGTCCCGATTCGATGACTGCGGCTTCTGCCGCCGGGAGGGGCAACAAGTCGTGCCCCCCCGCCCTCACTTGAACGAAGGATTGCAAAAAAACGAAGGATTGCAAAAAAAACGAAGGATTGCAAAAAAACCCTTCGTGCAATCCTTCCGCTTGCAGGGCCGCCCTCGGCGCCGCCCGCGATGCCGCCTCTGGGGCCGCCGCGGCCTGCGAGCCAGCCCGGCGGCTGCTCCGCTCGCCGCGCTGGGGCGCGGCGCTGCGCGCCGCCCGCGGTGCGGCGGCCGCCGCGCGCCGCGGCGCGGCGGGCGCCCCCCGCGCGCTGGCGCGGGGCGGCGGCCGGGCCTCGCGCGCGCTGCGCGGTTCAGGAGGGAAAGAAGCACACACAGACACAATGAATCGTCGACTCCCAGGAAAATACAGGGAAATATGGGAAGTGGGGGGGGAAGACAGAAACCCAGAAAGTATGGGGAAATATAGGGAATTGTTTTATTTGTGTGTATTTATTTGTGTGTCCTTGGGCCCCTTCAGCGGTGCCCCCTGCCCTCAGATCTGGTCGGCGCCTGGAGCCCTGGACCCGAAATTGTTGCAGGTCGGCTTGTGTGGCGTTCTCGCCGCCCGCCAAGCCACCCCAAGCCAACCCAAAGGCCCCGATGAGCCCTCCATTTCCAGTGGGGGGGGGGTCGGAGAATACATATTGCAACAACACATACGAAGCCCGTACAGCGTCAAATTCGGGTCTTCGGGTTGGGTTGGGGTGGTCCGGTAGGTAGTGACGTTCTGGGTCTGCGTGGCTGGATCCTCAGAGGCGGGAAAAGGCACCCACAGCGCCACCCCTGCCTTGTTCTCTCCTTTGGAGGCCTCCTGGGAGGTCCGCGTCGCCACCACTGGATCCGCCTCGAAATTCTGGTCCGAACGCACCCCATGAGAGGTCTGGGGCGTAGCGGTATCGGCACTCGTAGGTTTCCCCAGATCCGGGCGTCGCGCTTTTTTTTTTACAACGGGCATTTTCGCCCAGTCTCGGGCCCCGCGGCCCTCACAGATCGATCCGGCTCGAGAAACGACGCGGGAGGGTGGGGCCCCCTAGATCCTCGCGAGGCTGCTCTGCGCCGCGCCCGGGACACTGCCATCTGGCCGACTCTGAGAGCCCTGGACCCAAGAACGTTGCAGGTCGGCTTGCGTGGCGTTCCGGACTTGCCCTGCTCCTGTCCCCTCCTCTCTGAGATTTTGGGAGGCTCCTCGCACCCAGGCCCTCTCGTTCGTGCTCCCCCTCTGCCTTTCTTCGTGCCCTTCCCCCCTGCTTTCTTTTCTCAGGCGAACCGTCGTGCGAATGAGATTGCGCATGTTGAGTAAGTTATGCGTTGACGTCTCGCGTTCGCTTCCGCGCCGCCCTCGCCCGATCTCCCACCGGCCTTCCGCTGGCGGACCCGCCCTCGGATCCCGGCGTCGCAATTTTTTCACAGCGGGAGTTGTCGCCCGGCCTCGGGCCCCTGCAGGAGGACCCTCACAGGTCGATCCGGCTCGAAAACGGCGCAGAGAGATGGGGTCGGGCGAAAGGGGGGGGGGGGTGGGAAAGGGGGGGGGAAATTTGCTGCATGCACGCCTCACCGAGGGGCCCATTCCTCGATACATAGCCGCCTCCGGCGCCGGGAGGCGCCGGGAAAATCAGCTACGTGAGCTGCTTTGCTATCCCCCCCTTTTCGCCCGACCCGAGAGAGATGGGGTCTGGGGCTTTGGTCGTGCGCTTTTCAAGCCGTAATTCGTGCTCTGCAGCGTCAGATCTGCAGGTGCGCTGCGCATCGAGCGCGGCGGGGCCGCTGCCGCGCCGCTGCCCAGGCCCGCAGGGGGCGAGGCCCTCGAGCGGAGGTCGCCGGCGGCGAGCCCTGGCGCGGGGGGCGCCAGGCCGCGGGGGGCGGGGGGGCGGGGCGGACAGAAGCAATTCGCCTGGTTGGGCTCGTGGCCGCCCTCGGCGGGAGGCGGCCGGGGGGGGGGGCCGGAAGCAAAGCGGCGGCGGGTCCGCCTGGATTTTTTTCCTCCGCCTCCCCCTCCGCCTCCTCCTCCTCCTCCTCCTCCTCCTCCTCCTCCTCCTCCTGCTCCTCGTGCCCAGCAGCAGGTCCAGTATTTGTTGTACAGGGCTCGCTGTCCGCGCCGCCGCGGATGCTGTCTATTTGAGACAGAAGGCCGCCTGCCCAACTGCAGCTGCTGTAGGTTTTGGACACCATGTACTGTTGGGCATCGTGCGCATTCTTGTCCGTACTCATTTCGGTCGTCCAAATGGACGGACGGCTGGCGGCAGGTCGCTGTTCGGTAGCAAGTAACGGGGGCCTTGTGTGTCCTCGCAGTTCAGTCTTTCGAGTGGAGTCGCGTCGATTTGGCGTATGGTATAGTCGATGAGACGGCGCCGACTGATCGACGATTCGCGTCGAACTGGCGTCGGATAGCGTCGATTTAGCGTCGATTCAGCGTTCACAAGCGTAGACAAGCGTCGATTAGCGTCGGCCAGCGTCGATTCGCAAGAACCAGCCAGCAAGATGGTATGGGAGGCTTCCCCGAGTTGCTACCGAATCGTCGGAAGGCGATCGCGGCTCGCGTAACGGGGGTCAGCGCTGACGGGGGTCAGCCAATCCCCTCTGGCTGACCCAGATCTGGGAGCCACGTGTGCACGCCGGATTCCCGGTGCTTGCCCTCCGCTGACCTGGGCTTGGGAGCTACCAAGCGGCGGCCAGGCTTCGCGACAGGGCCCTGGTCGACCCGTGCTTTGTGCTGACCTGGGGGAGACCTTTCCTCTCCTGATCAGGAAATCTCTCCTGTACTTATAAAAGAAGTCGTTCCTCTCCTTTTGAGGGAAAGCTCTCCTCTCCTTGCGAGGAAACTCTTTCCTTTCCTTATGAGGGACATCCCTCCTTCCCTTGTAAGGAAATCTCTCATCTCCTTGCAAGGATGACGGACGGGGCCCTATCCTTGAACCGCGGAGGTGGAGTCGGCCAGGCGGGGCGCTGGGTGTCGGACGGGGGCTGGAACGAGGATGAATCCGTTCCAGCGCGTTCCAGAACGCCCTCAGGGCGTTCCGGAACGCTCTGAGAAGGCCGCGGCGCCCCGGACATCCTCCAGAGCCGCCAGATCTCAGAGATTACCGATGTACCCTCGACAGTCTTGATCCTCGCCCTGGCCTCGTCTCACGGTGGAGCGTTCCAGGCTCAGTCGGGCTCAGCCAGGTGGCCCCCAGGCGCGCGGAGAGGACCGCGCTCCGCGTATCGAGGCCTGGGCTGGAGAGGTGTCCTTGGCCAGTGCGGGTGCGCGAGGGCGCGAAGGTAACCGCGCGGCACGCAGCGCGCGGCGCAACGCGCGAAGTTAGGCGCCCTAGGCTCGGGCAGATCGGGGGCACGTAAGACTCGAGTAATGACGCCGGAGCTCGGGTTTGCCGACGCTTTTTGACGAGCGCGTCCTGGGTTTTCACGGTCCAGCTTTCGCGGGATGTTTGCAGCGGGAGGTTGCGTCAAATTTGAGACTGGGTCTCGTCATTTTCATCATGGCCCCGTCAGGCTAGCCCGAGATCCCCGAACCAGAGTCCTACGTTTCCCTGGACATGCTTGTTTTTTTGTGTGCGTCGCCCCCCCGGGGCCACGCGCACACCGAAACATCTGGTAGGAAAAAGCGCCGTCGCCGGTGCGGTCAGGCCAAGACGCTTTGATAGCAGCATGCTGCAGCGTGTTTGTGCACATACGTTGCGGTCGGACGTGCGCCTCGAAGGGGGGCGCACAGTCCCAGTGCGTCTTCCCCGATCCCCACGGAGACCGGGGAAACGCAAAGACGGAGCGTGGCGCGTGCATTCGCGACGGCTCCCGCCTTCATGCAGCAGATCGACGCGCACCGTCGCCAAATCGGCTGCAGTGGCTTCATGGTTTCGGGGGGAGGGGTCGATTGACAGATCATGTTGATGACGTTTCCCCTGCTCCCATGTTTGATTCTTTCACCCTCGCAAGAACAGTGCTGCCAGCAATTGGGGTACGAAGCTTGGTGCACACTGCAGAGGCGTTTGCAATGGAGTCTTTTGCAGGATCAGTCAACGACGACGTGGGAAACTTGAGCCGACGGGACCCGACCGATACCCACTCGCGCGCAAAGAGAGTACTACACCGACCCAGCAAAAGATATATTCACGATCAGGGAGATGTATTCGTGCAAGTTGCGGACAAGCTTGGCAAGCAAATGCGACAGAAAGCATTATGTGGTCTGAGATGGAAGAGTCCTTCGCACCGAGACAAGGACAGGACAGTCTGATCGAGTCAGTCGGGCGGCTGGCTCTTCCTGACTTCTTTTCTCAGTTTATATTCAGTTTCAATCTCTGTGTCGGCGCCGAGGCGCCACCGCCTAGCTCCTCGTAGGGCTGCCCCCCCAGACGAGTAAGCGCCGTGTCCGTGTCCGACCCCTTGTGCCAAACCCATGGATCCGTAATCCACCATCTCGATCGGTGTGCCTGAAGGAAGGGTCTCTCCTTCGGTGCGTCCCGGAAGGCGGCGGAAGGCCGGCGGAGGGCGGCGGAAGCAAAACGGTGACAGCGGCTCCGAAGGTGGAAGGCGGCGGAGGTTACATGATGGCGCCCTGGGATACGTTTTTGCGAACAAATTCAACCTCGCGACCAATCACGACCGGAGCCATAGACCCCATCTTTTTGCGCCAGCTTCCGAGCTGGATCGATCCGTGAGGTCCTGGGCCCCGACGCCATGCGAAAACTCCCGTTGTTAAAAGAAAGGCGACGCCCGGATCTGAGGGTGGATCCATTAGCGAACGGCCGGTGGGAGATCCGCGGAAGGCGGCGCCGAAGCGAGCGTGAGGCGCTGACGTATAGCTTACTCAACATAGCTTGCACCACATAGCTTGAACAACATAATTTGCACCACGGTTGACCAAAGAAAAGAAGCCAGGGGAGAAGGGCACAAAGAAGGCAGAGAGGGGGAGGACAAACGAGGGGGCCTGGGTGCGAGGAACCTCCCGAAACCTTAGACTAGGAGGGGGCTCTGCAGCCAGTCAAACCCGGAACGCCACTGCACAAGCCGACTTGCAACGTTGTCTGGTTCAGGGTTCCCGGAGTCGGCCAGGTGGCGGTGGCCCGGGCGCGGCGCAGAGCAGCCTCGCGAGGATCCACAGGCGGGAGTTCGGGCCACACCGCAGGGTCTCCTTGGCATCCGAGGGGCCCTCGGTATGGAGAAGCCCAGACCTCCTCGAGTCATGAAAAAATCACAACGGAGAGTTCCTATTTTTTCTCTCAGCTTTTGGGGGCCCTCACGGGGCCTGGGGACTGTCAAACATTGACTCAGGATGAAAACCCGTCCAGGGGGATGGGTCAAGACCTTTGGGGGTCGAAGTTATGAGAAAACCATGACATCGGGGGTCTGAGAGTGGCGCCCCCACCTCTTCGCGTCGTGGAGCAAAACCACGAAGGATTTTTTGGTGGCAGCCTTCGGCCACTGGGGGCCTTTCTACGGGGTCCCGGGGCCGCCAAGACATGGCTAAGGACGAAAAGCGGCGGCGCGCGCCCGCAGGGGGGAAGGCAGGGGCGGCGAGCATGTTCAGAAGGGTCCAGAGGCCTCCGGCCTTCCGAGACGGCTTCAATTGTTTTAAGCCTTCTCCGAAGCCACAGAGCGCCTCTTGGAAGGCCCGAGGGCTTCTGAGGAGCCCCGCTGCCTTCTGAGAAGGCCTGCCCCCTCGTGCGTCCCTCCTCGGCACGCCGCCGAGAAAAAGCAAGTCCTGGGGAATCGGCCTCTTGTCCTCCGAGGGCCCCCGCCTTTTGTGAAGCCACCCAGGACGTCGTCGGTCCTGGCCCTGAGTTTCCGGCGCCGAAGACGAAGATGGTTCCCATGGTCCGATGTTTTGGCTTTGTTCATGGCGGGGCTCTCGGAAGTCTCGATCTTTCCCCTCCCCGTTCGGAAGGTGCATGAAGGGTGTACTTTTCTCCCTCCACCCCACTGGTATTTTGCCACTCCATGGAGCAACGCCCGTGCAGGGCTGGTTTTGGACGGCCCTGGGTCAAGGTCCCAGTTGCCGAGAACGGGAAAACAATTGACTTGTTATTCTCGATGCGGAAAAGCGGATTTATTCGCCGCGCCGTTTGTTCCGACGCGTGGTCTTCCGTCCTGGGGAGGGCGCCGCGGACACCAGGGCAAACGCCGCCTCAGGCGCGGTGGGCTCGCCGTGGAGTTTGCCGCGTGGCGGCCTCGCCTACTTGGGGTGCGGGACGCAGGTTTCGCCGTGGATGTGCCGTGGCGTCGGCGGCGTCTACTTCGGCGTGCCGAGAACCAACGGCGCGGCGACACGTGGCCTCTCGCCAGCCGCAGGAAGCTTCCGGCGAGGAGGAGCTGGGCGCGCCACAGCGGCGCTGGCGGTGGCCCGGGCGGCCCGCGGGGGAGCCCCGACGGGAAGCCCCCGGCGGGGACGACCAGGCCGCGGTCGCAGAGCCGCGGCGCTGGCGGCTGCCAGGGCGGCGTGCGCAGGGGCCCCGTGGCGAGACGCCGGACGAGGACGATCATCGAAGACGGAACGGCGGCAGAAGCATGGACTCTGGAAGGTTCGCGCGGATTTCTCGGACTTGCGGCCGGCGCCGGCACCGACCCCACGAATCCGCGCAGACCTCCAAAAGCTTATGTGTCTGCGCCGCTTTCTCGTCTTCCGGAGCAGGGCGCCTCGGCGGAGCCGCGGCGTTGGCGGCTTCCAGGGCGACGTGCGCAGGGGCCCCGTGACGAGGCGCCTCACGAGCCCGACCAGGACGCGGCGGCGGGGCCGCGGCGCTGGCGGCTGCCAGGGCGGCGCAGCCGGGATCGCCGTGAGGCCGTGTCGGACGGCGGCGGTGGGGACGCACCGGAGCCACGGCACTGGGGATGGCCCGGGCGGCGCGCGGAGGGGCCTCGCCAGGGTGCGACCGAAGAGGTCTCCTCCACCTCCACCCGATCCGTTCCGATTCCGATTCGAAGTCGGTCTCGGCCTGCCCGATCCGATCCGATTCTGATGTCCCAGCGATCCGATGCTGCCCGATGCTTGCATGGCGCTAGTGTGCATTCTGGCGCAGCCGATCGGATTCGATCCCGACTTCGTGCCGATGCAGCCCTATCCGACGCACGTTTTTATTCGATCCGATTTGTTTATCCGAAGCTGGCGGATCCTGTCCCGCGCAAGGAAGTCAGTCATGGGGGAGGAAATGCTTCTCTGGGCCAGACATCAAGGAAGCACCACTGTGCCGGTATTGTTGCCATTGCCGCCGAGCTGGCAAACCACGCACTACACTTTCACATCCGATAGGGCGATCCTCAGGCGAGTTGGCTCATGCGAGCTGTTCAAGGGGACTTCGTTGTTCGCGCCGACCTTGACCGAAAGCATTAGCAGCGCGTCTTACATGTATCATACGTATTGTTTTGTATATGTATGCCATCGTAGGCCCCAGACAGTGAGTTTGTGCACCCTGCATGTGCATGCTGTGGTGGAAGCTATGTTGTTCAGCACAGCATGTGCATTTCATTGCCACTACTGCGTTGTCAACTCCAATGCTCGCGCAAATATTCCACCCTTCCGCCCGCATTTGTTGGTGAAAAGATAGCCCTTTCGGCAACGATTGCGGTTGCCGACTGGAACTTGCTAGCGCATCTCTGCGGCCGCGCTGCAGCGCGCACGTTCCCGCGCAGATCGGCCAGCTGCTGCAGCTCAACTGGTGCGGTTGCGATGGCGCTTGCCGATGGGAACTTCCTTGCGCGTCTCAAAGGCCGCGCTGGCGCGCGGGCATTTCAGTGTCATTCGGTGCCTCGGGCAGGCGCGCGGCAACTATGATGATAGTTGCGGTGGTGGTGACAATGATAACGGTAACGACGGCAAAGTAAGTTACGGCACCGATACTGGTGACGACGACAACGATGACGATGTCCATGTATCGGTGGTGAAGGCGATTGCGGTGATCATGGCGGCACTGGCGGCGATTTTCGGTGACGATAATTGCGACGGGGCTACAGAGGGTGTTGGGATGGCGCTGGTTGGCGGTTATTGGAGCGCGACGATTGCGATTGCGGCGGTTGGCGGTGATGCGATGGCGCTGATGTGGTTGATTGGGAAGTGCGTGGTCAGAAATTCATGAATTCTGATCGAGTGTTGTAGAGAAGCGTTCGTGTGTCCACATGTGGTTCAAAACTATATATAGATCTGGTTCGGCAACCCATGGTCTCGGACAGGTTTCGACACGTGCGTGGCTGCGCGCGCATGTGGCCCGCATCATTGTATTTCATACGTACGGGCGGTGTCATGCGTTGAGCGCATTGCAGACCTCAACGGGTGCCCCGTATTGTGAGATGGTAAAGACATGGTGAGGACGAGGTTGTTGCAGTCAGATGGTTGCCATATGAGTCCAGCAACAGCGCGCAGGCATATTGACCAGTGGGCATCTCATGAAATACCAGTGGGGGACTCAGTCGCACCCAGGCTCAATCATAGCCAGATCCGCTCGCACTCCGATTCGGGCACGCTCATCTCATTCACGCTCAGATTCGCTCGCAGTCAAGGCTCACGCACAGGTGTTTGCCGCGATATAGCCAGCCTGGCATTCGGGCACCGCAAATGCCAGCTGGTGCCGCGAATAGCGCGCTAGGAAACGGGCGTAGCAATGCCATGCGCGCTCGTGTGGGTTGCCGCAGTGAGAACGGCACGAGGGTTCCTCCTTCGCTCTTCCACTTGTGTTTCCTTCGTTTCCCCCGGCAAATGTCCAGAGGAGGAGGACGTCATTGAAGTCGTCGATGTCGTCGTCTTTTTTGTGCCTGTCGTCTACGCGGACTCACCCTCACACCCAGACGCTCACCGGCACAGTTCCCCAGCGAGACGTGACAGGAGTTGTGAGGTGCACATCTGGGGATTTCCGCGTCGAGCCATTATTACGTAGACGCCTCCGGACCTTCCGCCTCCTTCTCTTTCTCTTCTCCGTTTTCAGACCGCTCAGGTACTCATATCCATACCGTTCACACCCATCACGGGGTCCATCACATACCCATTCTTGATCACGGGGCCCATCACATACGCTTTGTTTCTCGCGCGGACTCAGCCGTATCACTTCCTCATTCGGATCCATCCGGACTCAGATTGTCAGACTCGTACAGACCCAGTGCGGGAATTCACTTCCGACGCAGGCCCATTTGTACACATTCAAATTCTCTCACTCCGACACTCTTCCTCACTCTTCCCAAGTCGAACTTTTCGGGTGGCCCAGTGTTCACCGCGACATTGCAGGCGTAGCACTTGGACACCCCGAGGGGGAACCGCCAAGGGGTATGGCTCTCGCCCATTCGCGCCAGGATTGTGAGGATATCCCAGGCGGTTTGCCTTTTTCCGTCCCCCGATTGTTTCCAAACCATCCTGTGGTGTTGGGTCTTCGTTTTGAGGAGACGGTCCCCGCGTTCCTCTTCTCTCCTCGCCTCTCCTCCTCCCCCTCCTCCTCCCTCCTCCCGTCACCTCCCTCACTTTGGCCCAACCCTCACACGTTTCGCGGCCCCATATGGACCTCCACCGAAGGCTCAAATGCCAGCGTTCGCATGCGGTCACCGCGCCCATCTTTGGCACACCCCTAACACGTTCCGTGGCCCCAAAGGGAACCCCACCAAAGGCCCACATGTCAGCGTTCGCATGCGGTCACCGCGCCCATTTTGGCGTACCCCTCACACGTTTCGTGGCCCCGTAGGGAACCCCGCCGAAGGCCCACATGCCAGCGTTCGCGTGCGGTCACCGCACCCATTCTGGCACATCCTTCCCGCGCTTCGTGGCCCTGATGGGAGCCCCAGTGCAGGCCCAAATGGATCGTTGTCAGGTGGTCACCGCACTCATTTGTGGCACACCTCTCACCCGTTTCGTGGCCCCATTGGGATCCCCATTGGGGGCCCAAATGCCAGCGTGCGCATGTGTTCACCGCACCGATGTTGACACACCTTTCACACGCTTCGTGGCTCCATAGGCAGCCCCACCGACGGCCCAAATGCCAGGGTTCGCATGCGGTCACCGCACTCATAATTGACACACTCGTCACACGTTTCGTGGCCCCACAGGCAGCGCCACCGAAGGCCCAAGTGCCAGCGTACGCATGCGGTCACTGCGCCCATTTTGGCATACCCCTCACACGTTCCGCGGCCCCATAGGCAGCGCCACCGAAGGCCCACATGCCAGCGTTCGCATGCGGCCACCGCACATATTTTGGCACCCCCCCACACGCTTCGTGGCCCCATAGACAGCCCCACCGAAGGCCCAAATGCCAGCGTTCCCATGCGGTCACCGCACCCATGTTGGCACACCCGTAACACGCTTCGTGGCCCCATAGGCCGCCCCACCGAAGGCCCAAATGCTAGCGTTCGCATGCGGTCACCGCGCCCATTTTGGCACACCGTCACACTCTTCGTGGCCCCGTTGGCAGCCCCACCGAAGGCCCAAATGCCACCCTTTTGGCACACCCCTCACACGTTCCGTGGCCCCATAGGGAGCCCCACCGAAGGCCCAAATGCCAGCGTTCGCATGCGGTCGCCGCAGCAATTTTGGCACACCCGTCACACGTTTCGTGGCCACGCAGGGAGCCCCACCTAAGGCCCAAATGCCAGCGTTCGCGTGCGGTCACCGCACCTATTTACACCCTTCATACGTTCCGTGGCCCCATAGGCAGCCCCACCGAAGGCCCACATGCCAGCGTTCGCATGCACCCACGGCATCGATTTCGGCATACCCCTTACACGTTTCGTGGCCCCGTAGCGAGCTCCATCGAAGGCCCCCGTGCCACCGCCCGCATGCGTCACGCTTTTCGTTGCCCCGTAGTGGCAGCGCCCGCACGTCGCCCCCCCCCCCCCCCCACACACACACACATCGGCACACCCTTCGCATGCTGCATGGCCCCATGAGGAGATCTTCCGAAGGCGATGCCCGCAGCGACGGTACTCACAACTGCATATGGCTGGGTCCTTCGCCAGGGTAATTTTCTGATGGTCCACCACCCGCCGCGATATAGCAGGCATGCGGCTTGTTTGTTTCTGCCCACAGACTTTTTTGGGGGGGCTGTCCACTGTTCACCGCGATATAGCAGGCGTGGCACTTGAGCATCCCAACGGGCAAGCTACCCGCCGGGGATGTCGCAGGCGGTTTGGGTGTTTCTGTTCCCCAACACGTTTTTTCGGGAGCGGTTCTTTGTTCACCGCGATATAGCACGCGTTGCATTTGGGCACCCCGCGGGGGAGCTGCCAGGGGGTATGACACCCGCCCGTTGGCGCCCAGATTGTGGGGATGTTTCAAGCAGTTTGCCTATTGCTGCCCCCAAACTTGCCCCTGTGGTGGTCCACCGCTCACCGCGACATAGCAAGCGTGACATGCGGGCACCCCCGTGGGGGAACCGCCAGGGGATGATGACACTCGCCCGTTCGCGCTGAGACCGTGGGGATGTCTCAGGCTGCCTGCAGCATGTTTCTGCCATCCAGACTTTTCTTCTTTGGTTGTTCACAGGTCACCACGGCACGGCAGGTTCCTGTGGTGTCGACGCGGTGGCGACCCAGCCGCGGGCGTTCAAGGTTGAACGCCGCCAGAGGCCCAGAACCGGCCCATCGGGCAACTGGAAAGCCGCCGATCGTTCAAGGTTGAAAGATCTACGCGGTGTCAAAGACCAATGCCAAAGTCGTCACGACAAGAACCTGCCGTAAAGTAGGCGTGGCACTTGGGCACCCCAAGGGGGAGCCGCCAGGGAGAGTGGCACTCGCCCGTCGTGGCGCCCCAGTACGTCAAGTCGACAGTGTACGAATCGAACAGAGCAATTGCTTCCAACGCCTTGTGCTTCGCGGTTCATCACATGTGCAGTTTGGAAGCTCGAAACAGCGAGAAGGCAGTGACGCTGATATTATGCTGTGACCCCCGGGGGCTCGAAAACTCGAGATGGAAGGGACTGCGAACGATTCTTGGGGGCCTCTTGCAAGCTTCTTGGGGGGGGCATGCGTCAACTGGCCCCCGGGACCGCCTCCAGGCCCCCATGAGGCCCCCAAGAGGCTCCCAGTGGCACCTTCGAGTTCCCTCTCTTGGGCCCCTCTTGGGAAGGGCCCCGAAAGGCCAGTCGATTTCTCCCTCTTGGGCGTTTCGTTGGGGGTATCCTGGGGGCCTCTTTGACCCCCTTTGGGGGCCTGGGGACATTTGGGTGTTCATTTTGGAGCATCTTGGGGCGTCTTGGATGCTCTGAAGGCCGAGAGGGCGATTCTGCAAACATCATGTGGCGCATGGAGATGTTCCTGTGTTTTCGCCTCTTCCGTACAGCTCTGAGGCCTCCAACTGCCCAAAAGGCCCATAAGTGAGCCCCAGGGCCAGGACTGCCCCTTGGAGCCATCTTGGGGCACGGGAGAGTGTGGACCGCGAACCTCGCTCCCAAGGCCTCTAGAAAAGTCACTCGGGGCGCCCCAACAGCCACGCGGGAAGCCAAGACTCAATGCAGAAAGTTCGATGGGACCTGAGGGCGCTCCACTTAGTGCCTCGCGGCACGGTGGCGGACTTCAAGTCAGAGACCAAAGCCACAGCCACAGCCAGAGCCAATGAAATACCACGAGCCACAACGAACGGCCCTCTACGCCAGGCCACCAGCCAACTTAGCTCACTATCTTTGCATAGCTTCCATCCAGAATGCTGTGTAGGAGTCAGAGTAGGGGAACCAGCCAGTTTGCCAGCCTCTAGCTAGCCAAGCCGATCACCCCTGCCATCGCTCCCAGTCCTTCCCGCTTTCGCTGCTCTTGCTTCTGCCTGCTACCCTGCAACTCCCTCTTCTCCCTTCCCCACCTCTCCTCCCTTCTCCCCCCTTTCTCCCTCCCTCCCTTGATTCCCACTCATGCCCCTCTCTCCCATTCCAGTTTCACTTCCCGTGCTCTTTATGGTGAAAACAGTGAGTGAAGCGAGCACTCAATTCCAAATATAATTTCCCCGCCCTTGATTCTCCTCGGCAGAAGATGTCAGCACACCACCGCCATGTTTAACCAGGGCCATCCTGGGCCCCAGGATGGTGTATGCGCCCTACTGGCCTGGACCAGGAGGGCGCATGTGCACACCGTATCAAAGCCAGAGATGGCCTTGATCATGGCTTAGCTCCTCCCTCCTGTTTCACATGTCTTCGGCGGCATTCGTCGAGAGGCAGCCGCAGGGACATCAGGCTGGCCTTGCGTCGACGTTGTGCAAAAGCAAAGAGGGTGGCCTTGGCCAGGCATGGTGATGGTGGTGGTGTATAGATGCATTCTGCGTATCTTCTCCCTTTTGCTTTCCCCCCACCCCTGCTCCTCCCCCCTGCTTCCTCCTCTCCTTCTTCCTTCCCCGCATCTTCCCCTTCCGCCCCCCCCCCCCCCCTGCTTGTCCCCTCCTCTGCTCTCCTCCTCCTCCCCTTTCTCTTCACCTGCCTCCTCCCCTGCCTGCCCGCCTCGTACCCTCCTTGCCCTGCCCGCTGCCTCTCTCCGCCGCCCCCATCCGGTTGGCAGCCCACTCTGCCCAGCCGCTGCGCGCCAGGACATGGCCGGGTGGCCGCTGTTTCCGCACCTCCGCCCGGCCTGCGCCCCCTCCGCCGCCCCCGCCCCAGAGGCTCTGGCATGGGCGCGCGCGAGAAGCCTGCTCTGAGATCCTGGCGCTGCAATTTTGTTACACCGGGTGTTTTCGCACGGTTTCGGCCCCCAGGGCCCTCCCAGATCGGTCCGGCTCAGATATGGCGCGGAAGGGTAGATGGGATCTGAGCTCTGGTGGTGATTTGTTTATCGTTTTTTCCGTGGCAGCGTCAGGTATGAGGGCGGGCCTCGCCCCACCTCGCCATGAAGGAAAGGGGTCCTGAGGGAAACGGGTCCTGAGGTCTTTCGCCGTTTTCGGGTTCCAGGGGCCCTCCACGAGCCCTGGCATTGTCAGAAAACGACCCAGGCCGAAAAGTTGGTCCCTTGGGAAAGTGTCCAAGTCCAGAACCCGTTTCCCCCGCAGACCCCTTGCAACTCGCGGATTTTATGGATTTGCTTCGGGCGCCGGACCCTGGGACTCGCTCTGTGGACAACGACTTTCGTCCTCCTCCGCCTCGGAAGCGAAGGACAACCAGAAGGGACGCAAGGGCGGGGCGTTGGCTCCGCTGCTGGTGGTGGTGCTCACCAAACTCGCTCTCACCAGCGTGCGCGATCTGGCCGAGGTGACTGGCGCCTGCTTCGCGTGCTACATAGTTGGCGCCGCCGTGGCCTCTGTGAAGGTATTGCAGGAGACGGGGCGCATCTACGCAGAGGACTGCAAGGCGGACGGAAAATATTACAAGCACTGGCCCCCGTGGCCACAGATCTTCAAGGCGTTCATCATGTGTGCACGCTCGGAAGGGGGCGAGACGACGCCGCAGGAGGCCAACGCCTTGTTCGAGGACTACTGGCAGAAGGTGATCCTGGTTTCGACGGCGCTGGAGGTGCTAGCCGTTCGCTGCCGCCATTTCAGGATCAAGGCGTGTTGGTTCGACAAGAAGGATCAGCAGCATCCAGACCGTTTCAACTGCCAGCTCGCATTGGGAGTCCAGCAACAGGCCGAGTAGTGGGAACGCTTCAGCATGACACTGATGGGGGCGACCCGGGCTACCGTCTTGGCGGCCGCGACCAAGGAGAAGGACCAGCACGTCTACTGCCTCCCAGGGTCCTCGCCGAGGGGCGGGCTCGAGAGGGAGGCTGCCAAGCTTCTCCTGAAATTGAAGTTCAAGGACGAACCCGAGGAGGAGGAGGTAGAGAAGCAGCAGGAAAACGACGT